TTCGAGTCCGGACCTCATCGGGATACCGCATAAAATTTCAATAAATCTAGAAGCGAGAAGATAGGAAGAGAGAGAGAGAGAGAGAGAGAGAGAGAAAGACCTCCCGATGGAACGGACGGTCGATGTTACAAGACAGTTCGAACTTATTCGCGACTGTTACACGAATTCGACGCAGCCCCGTGCAGTCGGAATTCACTTCTCTTTTCTCTTCTTTCTCGCATTTCCATCGGGACTTCCATTGTCCGACTGCACTATCGAGTTTCCGAGAATATTTAGGATAACACGGAAACGCGATTCCGCTCATGAAATCGAAGAGCCGACGGAAAAGAATCACGATTCGGAATAACGGAGCTCTTGTAGAACGCTAATTACTTTGTGAAAAAAATTATGAAGTCGCAAGGTATAGTGAGTCAGATTATCACTGTTTGCATCTTATATGGCGCAAAATATAATCCGATTCTTTTTGTTTGAAACTTTTCGAAACGGTATCCGAAGTGCATCATTCCAGAAGTTCGAGCGTAATTAATCTCTAAAAGATACGAATGCCGAACAAACTTTCCTGTAAACTTTGCTGCAACCTTTCGTTTGCATCGACTCTCTTGTCATTTTTAAAAAGTGTGTTTCTAGTATCTCGTAATGTCCAAGATTATTACTTCTTGTTAATTATGGAAACAAGATTTTCCGAAAGGTCAATCGTCTTCCGTTTCCAATCTACTTTTAGTTAAGATTGAAATTAGATTCGTCGCTTCAGTTGAACTTTTTCAAAATTAGAATATCTCTTCATTTCTTTCTTCGAGGATGTTTTATTTTAAAACAAATAACTTGTTGGAACTTTACTTTTTCAACTTTACTTATTAGAGGACTAAAGTATGTAAATAATAGAACTAAAAATCCATATAATTTTGATCGATTTCTTTAATGAATATAAATATTTAATTTTATATATTTAATATTCTTATTTTAATTCTTATTTTATTAACCTCTACTATTTCTTTTTTTTTTGTCGATCAATATAGATAGATATTTTACGTGTCGAAATTCTCCGACTGAGCAAAGATCACGTCGCATTGATTTCGTTCACTCTGGAGAGGAGTCAAGACGCATTAATGGTTAGCCACGGGTTCGTGAGAGTTTCTGCCTTCAGTATAATAAACTCCTTTCTTCTTCGTGGACTTCTGGACCCTTCTGCCGACCCGGAAATCCGGGCGAGCATAAAAATGCAATTAAGGAAACGCCCGACGTCTGGTTACCTCCGCATCGTCCTTCTTCTTTTCAATGGTCTTTTCTTCTGGATCTCCAATCTCCATACTTTCATATCTTTTCATATCATTTCTTTTTCGTGTTTATTCCCTCGTGCTTTTAACGTAACGCGCGACAACGTGCGATAAAGAAGAATCAGAGAGACCACACGATTTAGAAATATAAAAAGATTCTTAGCTTATAACAAAAGTCCAAGAAGAGGCGGAATAGAATTTATTTTACCGCGCGTAAGCGGGCGGCCAGTACGTATATACCAGTGAAATAAAAGTATTATTAGACATTTCTGTCTGCCATTGAGCGTGATACACGCGAAAAAGTTCATCCCGCAAAATTCCTAGAGGGAACGCACGACTCGTTTCCCTCCATCCAGTGTAGCTCCCTTGTTCCGTTGTGTTGTGTCGGCAAAATGGCGAAGTAAGGTAATGACGCCATCAGCCAACGAGAATACGGCGTTCCTGATCGAATTTTACGGGTACGGCGGGGCGCCGGGCGGAGGAGGGGAGGGACGAAAAGCGAATTTCATCCGGCGACGAGTCGGCGAAGGCTTTCATCGCGATACCACGCGGTTAACTTGATTTACGTGATGTGCTTCTAACATACGCAACGTTACGTTGTTAGGCGCTTGACACATCCGGAATAGGGCTCCTCGCGCGCCTCTGAAATGCTCCCGCGATTGCACCGCGATGCCGCGATGAAATCGGTAATTTCATCCCGTTCAATGAACGCGCGACGAGAAACAAATTACGTCTCACCTCTTCGGTTACCGCCCCCGGCTCTATAACCAAATTTTAACCTGACGAAAGTGATTTTTTTATCCCCTTATATAAGTAATGCTCGATATATATTTCTATACGATGGATTTTACACCTCTCTTTTATTCACGAGTATCGAATCACCGGCGCTTTATGTATGCACGAAACCGTCGACTTTCCGCGCGCAGCATACCGCACGGTAACAAACCGCGCCATCAGCAATCGTGCGGTTGCAGCGCGGAACTCTCGCGAGGCGCTCGTTAAATGCAGCGAGGACGGCGACGTTAAATCGCTTTTTGCCGATAAGCGTTCCGAGCGTCAATAGTTTCTGCGAAAAAGGGAAAAACTTTACGAGCTAGCCACACAATTCCACTTTGGACGGCTACTTTGTCACC